GAGGAAACAATTGAATATTTTTAAAGGTGAACTATTAAAGGGACAGTTCAGAACCAAATGAAAAATACATATCTTTCCTTCTTCCTGTTATCATAAAGATTGTTATGGTCTGAGTTCCTGAGGGTTGGAGATATCTTCTGTAGAGATGTCTGCTTCCTAGGGGTGTAACGGTATCTGTATTCGTCCCGTACCTTCACGGTTCAGACGTCACGGTTCGGCACATGCAGTCACACGACGAATACGCCTTTTTCTTTTACGAGTGGGAAAAAAGTCCGTCATTCAGGGCAGTATCCACTACACTATATATAATCCAGGGGGCGGTATTGCGCCTAAAAGCTGTTTGCCAGCCGCCCTTAAACAACAAATGAAGAACAAGAAGAAACACAACAACAAAACGAACAAAATACAAGAAGAAGAAAAGTTAGTATGGCGATTTCAGATAACACACAGGAGCTAGAACCCACCTGCTTCTTTTAAATCAGCTGTGTGGGAACATTTCGGGTTCCCTGTGGATTACAATAACGATGGAGTGCGCGAGTGGTGGATCGGACGAGGACGGTGTGTCGGCGTTGTTCGATAGCGGTGCGGTATGCTAGTGGTAATACACGCCAAACATGCTAAATCATATCAGAAGGCATCACCCAGATTTGCCACTCACCGGAGCTCGGCAAAAGACAACAGCAGTTCAACAGCTTATCCCCGCCGTGAGACCAAAATAAATAACGGAAGCTTTTGGCATGTTTTTCAACGGCTATGCGCTCTTGAAACACTTTCTTATTATTTATGATTTAATATTTTCAAGACAATCTTTTTAGTTTTACAGCTTGATGAAACCTTTTTGTTTGACATCAGCCATTATAGATAATATGGCCATCTGAGTGTGTGTGGTACTGTTTGTGGTTTGTTTTTAACTGTTTAATACAGTTAATTATTCAAAATGTCAGAGTTCCTTATTTTTAAACTGAAACTTGCACTACTGTTCAAACATAAATAACAACAAACGTGGAATTATGCATTTGGGACTTTTTTTTGCTTTTTCTTGTTCCTAGGGCTGAACGATATACCGTGTCATGGCGATAACCGCGGTATGCGCATGCGCGGTATTCACACCGCAGGGACGTGCGGTTTTATTCATTTAAAAAAAAAAATGCTAACGCACTTTAGCACAGAATTCAAAATAAAGATACCCTTATTACTTATCGAAACTGCACATACAATATATCCGATTAAAGCTGAGACTCCACAGCTTATTTAAGTATAGTATCTAAGCGATCCGATCTCGCAACAGGGGAAGCAAACACAGACATCACAACACGTACCTTTTACGGAGCTTTTACGGGAGATCGTCTCACCGTAGCTGTCAATCTGATCAAAAGACGTGTTCAATGGCATTAAAACGAGAAAGAAAAAACGCAGCTGAATCGGTTGATCCATAGGTTGATAATGTATCTGTGGCTTGGAAGCAATTGTTTATAATCCATAATTCAATTTTTATGTAAAAATCGGAGCACAAATGCAGCTTCCGGTTTTGGCTACGCGTCACTCTCACTCCTTATTTGTTCATGTGTTGGTGTGTGTAGAACTTCCCCTGCATGCACAGCAAACCACCAATCACAATCATTCTTGATCAGATCACAGCACGCCAAGACCGGAAGCAGCAGCCACTCTGGTAGCTACCATTAGCAGCTAACTTTTGCTCTGCGATATTTACATAAAAATGGAATTATGGATTATAAATTAAATCATTTTTGTATACAGAGACGTTAAAAACCTATGGATTAACCGATTCAGCCGCGTTTTTTCTTTCTCGTTTTAATGCCATTGAACACGTCTTTTGATCAGATTGACAGCTACGGTGAGACATCTCCCCTAGAAGCTACGTAAAGGTACGTGTTGTGATGTCTGTGTTTGCTTCCCTTGTCCGAGTTCAGATCACTCAGTGATGATACTATATACCTAAATAATCTGTGGAACCTCAGCTTTAATCGGAGATCTTGTAAATGCAGCTACGATAAGTAATAATAAGGGTACTTTTATCTTGAGTTCTGTGCCAAAGTGCGTTAGCATTTTTCGCTCAGGGGTCATTTAGATGCTTCTTATGAGACTTGTGTTTTGTTTTGGTAAAAATGGTTTGTATCGTCAATTAGCTGAGATTATTTTCATTAATCTGGTATAACACATTAATAGGTTCTTAAATATTAAGATCCCCTGAGACACTGTCGTGAAAAAAAAAAGTAAAGTACCCGCCGGGACCTTGGGGTTTAACAGGTTAAAAAACCGCAATATATACCGCAGGGGGGGGGGGGGGGGGGAAATCGCGATGTCAGTTTTTTTCAATACCGTGCAGCCCTATGTTGTACCGAACCCGTACCGAACCGTGACCCCCAAATCGAGGTACGAACCCAGAGCCCTAGAGAGATATCTTATCTTAGAGAGATAATTATCTCTCTAGGGCTCTGTACGAACCGAACCGTGACTTCTGTGAACCGTTACACCCCTACTGCTTCCCCTTCAATGTAATGAAGATTATATGCTCAAAGCGCCATGGAAATACATCTGAAAAACTAAAAAGAGAGAAAATACTTACTACAAGAAACGGCTCACAACAAGGTCTGGATTATCTTGAGTAACCGGGTAGAGATTTCTCGCTGTGGAGATCCTCTCTATGGCCGGTATCTCCAAAACTCTGCATCTAACACCAAAGCAATCTAGATTGATATACTTCGGACTACTGGGAAGTGGCCTGGTTATCAGAGTATCATACTGTTAACATCATTGCTGGACAAATTTAGATTGAAACCTTCAACATGGCGCTGCTTATGAAGGGCTGATGTCATTTTAATAATCTGTTTTATTATCTTATAAACACACTCTCTCTCTCCCAGCAGGCATTCATAAATCCTGCTCTGTGCTGCTCAAAGAGGATATTGGCAAACACTTTAGCTGTTTTGCTGTTTGAGCAGCCAAAGTGGCAATCTTGAACAATCCCTGAGGTGTGGTTCATACAGTAACAAGTCGAACACGAAACTTGAAATTGTCAAATGTCCTAAGACTATCTATCTTTGAGCTCCTCTGTGTTTGTCCCACATGGATAACAATCTAGCAGTGGCTCGAGGCCACGTCTAAAATACACTCCCACTTCCTGTAGGCCTGTCAGATAGAATCTCCTCATGAGCACACTCATCATAAATTCAGACATGTTTGTGTGTGGGAAGAAGTTTTTGTAGATAATGACATTATGTAAACATGGGGTGGGTTTGATTTGAGCACTGGCACGTCCCCAGCTTCTGTAATGATGCCAGTTTTGCCTGAAGGCTGTGGGCTTTCCTCCAATCCTCCGAAGGAAACATGACAGACTCACCGGCCAAAAGGCTGACGTGAATGAGCCAATATGTCAAAAACCCAAAGCTTCCCCTGGTTACACTTGTTTTGTGTCATAGTAAAGAGGGCTGCCTCACACTCTCACAAGTCCCATTTTATCTAGTTTGGTTACAGATCACACTGGTGGCCTTTTTTCCTGGAGTCATTACACGTTTAATCTGGGATGCACTGGCTCAGCTTTCTCTGGCAATAGGACTGAATGTGAGATTGTCAGTGTAAGCTAAATTGAACACACCCTGCAGAGATTTTACATCTAGGAATGTGATGTTGGTCTCTGTTTTTTTTGGTCAGTTCACACAATTCTGTTCATCCATAGTTAACAAAGAAGATTAGAATTGCTACAATTAGATATTGTGATACTCAAGCTCAAATAAATACTTTATGTTTTGGTGTGTATCACAACAACAAAACTCTTTCCAGATTTCGTAGGAAAAGAAACAGCACAATAAAGCCATATTTAGATTGATATTAACTCAGCTGACAGCTTGATGGCTTTTTCTTAGCTGAGTGTTCATTATGTACCAGCTTTTCATAGCTCAGAGAAAATCAAATTGAACCTAATATATGACGGAAGTATAATTCCATTTCAGCTTTGTCACACAAAATGAAAAATGAGAGTTAGTAATATTAAGCCACTCTACTGGTAGCTGCTTTAACATTGTGTGCTTAGCCCAACGATGCAGAGATTGTATTGGTGCTAAAAAAAAAAAATATGACTGATTATCATAAATATGCATCAAACACACACACACACTTTAGATTCCATCACTGTGGCAAACCACAGAGGAATTGATGAAATGCTAATGTGTCCGGCAGCTTTCTTATTTGGTACCTGATGACGATCGTGCTTTAGGTCCAGTGGGACTCTACCTGCAGCAAAATAAGTATGGTATTATCTCCATGCAAATATCACCAGAGGAGAGCAAACCGGCAGAGAGAGTGATTGACCGGCTGGCTATGAGGGAGTCATCAGCTTCCTCTGAAACGCAGGGGAAAAAACAAGATGTCTCACAGTTCAAAACAACCTCAGAGCCAACTGTAATTTCCGGCGCAGCCTCTGTGAGCAGGCCGTTAGGTGTTTCACAGGCTTTTATTATTTGACATTACTTCAACTATATTTAACATAATAGATATCTCAATTGTGCATCTACTTCCGGTTGTTGATATAATATATTTTCATGGACCATTTCTTATTACAATCTTAAACTCATCAACTCACATTTTTATCCTACATAAATGCGGTCTGTATCTTCATTAAAAAATAGATTTGGAAGCATGAATATTGAGCCAATTTGTGGGTGTAACGATTTAAAACTGCACTTTTGACTGATAGTTAATTTATGGCTGTAATTCCAGCAGGAGGAGGGAAAGCCAAACATGGGTGAGCAACACTCTTAACCTGCGGCTAAACTTTAAAAAATGACTTCTCGTCAGTCAGCAGAGGTGTAAACAAAGCAAAATGTGCAGCAATGTTGGAACACAACCAAACAAAACAATGCTGGCATTTAAGAATCACGCTACCTTTCCCGAGAAGCATTAAATGATTGATTTGCATTGTGATACATTTTTTTTTTTAAAAAGGTAAAAGTTGCAATCCTTCACTAAAAAGAGAAATACTGTTCAAATATATATATATTTATTTCCATATACCTTCATACAAACATATTCTTTAAAAAAAAATAAACTGTTGAAAGGGGTGAATCAAGTGCACAGTCATAGTGTCCACAGAGTATTCAAAGAGTGGGTAAAGCTGTGTCATGATTGGATACAAAGCAACAGAAGGGAATCCTCAAGGTTCACACAACAAAAATACATAGACATACCGTCTCTCATCTATTGATCTCCATCACCTGAGTTTCAAGTGCTATCAGCCCTCTCAGAGATTCCTTGGATTAGAAAGATAATTATGGGCAATTTAATTATTCAACCCCAAATGATTAGCCTGCAGGTGCAGCTCTGATAATATATCCATCACTCCCTTAAGGTTCAGTATGTATAATCACATTTTAACATGAGTGCTTTCACTTGTTTTCGATGTGAATCAAATGTTGTTTTCACGCTTTTTATCTGCTTTGCTGATGCACTTGAGCATGAAACAAGGATCAACCCTGATTTCAGGGCTTTAAATTCTCATTTTAGGGGGAAATTATTCATTGTAACACCCTCTGAGGATGTGCTTGAGTGGCACATGCGCCCAAGCCCCCAGACATAGCTCTTATTGGACTGACTGCTTTGTTTTCCAGCGTGAAAAGTTTGCATTTTCCACTGTCAGTTGGCAAAATGGTCCTCCTTGATTTCATGTGTTGTGTTCAAGTGGTTGGCCAGCTCTTGCATCACAGCATCTTTGCCAATCTGATCGTTCCTCCTCTTTTCCATGATCACGTCCTCCAGGCTCTGAAACTCCAGGACGTGATTCTTCTTCTCCGAAAAGAGTAACTTTAACCTGTACGGCTGCTTTCCTATCCTTATCTCCCCTCCGATTTTAAACTCCCGTTTGCCAAAGCGGCACCAGGCGGCAAAGCACTCAGAGTTCCTCCAGTACAGCTCTCTGTCTCTGGATCCAACATGGTCCAGGGCGTTACGCACGATCACCTCCGGCGGGAGCGCACAGTACCTGTAGAGGCCGTTCACAATCCTGCCTTTTTTGCCTTGGCTCACATCGGTGAGAAAGTTGTTCTTGATCTCCGCCCGTTGCAGATGAACCACCTGGAAGTCCCCGACGTACACAGCCCATTGGGGATACTGTCCGGTGTTCACAAACTCCAGCAGGTCTCCGGGTCTGCACTTGTTCAGGAGACTTTCCGCGGAATGGGTCTCGGCTCCGGTGTTTGTCTCGTACACGCACTCCTCCCGGTAGAAGATCGAGCACTCCAGCTGGTCTCCGGGGTCGAAGGGCTTCTCCTCGTGGTTCACCATGTTTTTCTCCGATGAAAAGCGGTCCAGATTCTCGTCCTGGTCGTCGTCATCGTTGGAGAAAATGTAAGAGACGCCGATCCGTGGTCCGTTGTCGTCCGGTTCGAACCCATTTGGGTCCGATGTTGGCACCTCTGCGTAATTTAAATGCGTTAGTTTCTCCACCTGGTTCCCCATGAAAGGTGACAGGTGGATGAGAGGAGGTAGAGCTGAACACAGAAACAGGATCCACCTGTTTTCACCGGGGAGGAGACACGGAGAGAAGCGCAGGGTTGTGCCACGCGTCTTAACTAAATCCAATGTATCCAGTAATCCATATCCGGCTGTATAGATCCTCCGAATGAACACCAACTGCGCCACCCTGTATAAATAAACAAGAGAGTAGCTCAAACAAGGAGTTCAAAGCACATCAAACCAACCTGCAAGTCAAACTAGTATACAGAGCTCTCCCAACAGGTGCGACCTGACACACCTGTTGCCTCACCGTTTTTACAGCTGGATACTTTTTACACAGCCTCAGTACTGTGTGCAGTACTGAGGCTAGTGCGATATCACTACACTTGTTGTCATGTTTAAGCTGTTGTACACTACATTTAGTCCGGTTCTTTTTCAATAAACTCTCTAGAGAGTAGGCTCACCTGCAGTTCAGCTCCCTCCTGTTGTCACATCGGTAAAATGAACCGGAATGAGAGTGTATGTGCTGGCGGAGCTGCTTCCTGTGTGTGGCTGTGGTCAGTGCTGTCTGAAGTATGAACCACAGCGAGTGTTGCAGCGAAACTCACCCGGGGACTGCTGGGAGGTGTTGGCTTTTAAAGCGACAGTACGCCTTTTTACCTCATTTACATATCTGGTGGTACTTTCTCAAAATAAATTATACATTATCAGAAACAAAAGTGCGAATAACTCAAATATTTTAAATTGGAAACGTGGCTCTACTACAGTGTTGAAATACTCTGTTAAAAGAAGAAGTCATGTATCCATGTAAGTAGAAGTACAAAAGCATCAAAATAAAAAGTAAATAGAGTGGCCCATTTCAGAATAATTTATGTATAATTGTTGTATATGATATTTATTGATGCATTAATGTGTTTATCACTTCAATGTTGCACTTGGTAAAAGCATAGACTGTATATAAAAGGTGTCATTGTTTTTGAATTACTTGATATACTGCTTGGTAGCTTCACCTGTACTGATGATGATTTATTAGTTGATTTATATTTTGAAATGTTAATCTAATGTGCAAAATAGCTAACTAAAGCTGTGAATAAATGTAGTGGAGTACAATATAAATTGCTGGCAAATTGTAGCGGATTAGAAGTTTAAATGAGCATTTCATGGAAGTTCTCAAGTACAAGTACCTGAAAGTCATACTAGAATGCGGCCCACCACTGATAAAAACAATACAAAAACCTAACAACGAGCTGACTTTATAATATTATGTTAAGGCGTTTACTAAAGTAAAATAATGTAATTGGTTCAATATAGTTAGCACATTTTTGTATTGGATGAAAGTAATATAATAAAATGTGAATACATTTCGTTGGAGCCTATAATACTTTGAAAATAAAAAGTGTATTATTAGGTCAGGATAAACCCAGTACCACACAAACGATCTGGAGTTTATAAATTGATGTGACCAATGCATTGCTTTTTCTTTAGGTGAAGGATAATCCTTAAACTCAAAAACATATAGCATTAAGCATGCAGTGTGTTTGGTTTATACTCTCACATCTTTAAATAAAAAGAGCAGTTTACATTGAATTCTAACAAAAAGTTTAATTAAGAACACTTTCTCATGACATTCTCCCCTTTGTTATCAACACTGGGTAATACCATAGACTGGGTAATACGTTTCAGCCAAACATCGTTCCAGTTCATTATTGTATTATTTCCATACTCTGGAAGCTGTCTGCTATGATGAAATGAGCTTTAAAATGAGAAATCTGCTTAACAAGTACAAGCTTTTTACATTGTAGAAGGATTTATGATGTAATTGGAGGATTAGTATCTCAAAGAAAAAGAATGCTACTGATTGAAACTAAATTCTGTTCAAACCTAGACTTTTTTATTTGATCTAATTAAATGTGCTGCTAAACTGAGGGTGTATATTAATTGAATTACATTATTCCACGAGATTTGAGGTTATGTCCTTTTAATAATAATCAAACTGAAAAATTATAGTTTTATTCCATATCTGAACCTGATGCCAACATGTTAAGTATCTCGGAAATGCACTCTGACTGTATCAAACTTTTCAGCAGACTTGTCATATAAAAGGCACAGGTGCTATTAATAACCAGAACTATTCTATTCAAGTGTCTCAGGAAGTGATGAGGCACACTAGCAGGACCCTGCGACCAAAGCAGCTAACCACACGTCAGCCATCATTCAGTCCATTTGACACCTGTGCTTTTAATACTGTGACAAGTCAAAATATGTGAAAAGGCATAATCCAAGTTTGCAACTTGTGAATAGGAACACAGGAGTCCTAATCAAGATTTACATAACACTATTAGCAGTACTTTCTTTAAAGGTCTGGTATTATGTGCAATTAACTGAAGTCTATAGGTGCTGGTTTTAATCCCTTTAAAAGAGGCAGGTCATTTTACCCATAAAATAATAACCCAGACTTCTTCTTTTGATGGGTGTCATACTATTTGGATTCAGCCCATACAAAGCAGTGTGAGAAAAGCACATGAATCAAACAAGATTGTTTGGAGTACCAGCTTCATCTGAGACCCTGCTGTTCCCCCCTCCTCTCCATCCAGGACTCATTTGCCAACAAATGAAAGCTATGTTCTCTTCCTGCCAGAAGGTACAGTCTTCCTTGGACATGCCATATATGGAGGCTTGCAGTGTCTCAGGCAGCCATTGCACCTTCTTCTCTGAGCAGATGAATGTGAATTCCTGATCAAACATACAGAAGAAAGCAAGCCTCTATGGGGAATCGATTGGGAGGCTTTTCTTCTCCTCGGCATGGAATGTCTGTACAATGTTGAGATTGAATTTCTGAGGATATTCACAGCCCTGCCTCCCTCCAAAGAAACAGCTTAATGGCTCAGCCTGTGATGCGCTGAATGCAATGCTGATGCGTGCTTGCGTGCCCTTCCCATAAATTGAACCCTTGTTGTTAAATTACCTGTGACTTCACATGTTGTTCAGTAAACAAGATTAGCTTTGCAGAATGCCAAAGAGAAATCAAGTAGAGTGTGGAAATGAATGAGTCAACATTGTAGACAATTTGTTGCCAGTTAATATGTTCATTGGCGAAATGCTCTGAGTGCTGCGTGACGCACACTTCGGAGTGGAAGCGCAATTAAATACTTTTTATAATGCCTGATGCAAGGTTATTAAAAGATTAGCTTCACCTAGTTCCATCTTAACACAGCCTTTGTTTGTTTTTATTTGGAACAAAGACCCTTCACAGGAATAGCATGCAGGAAAGGGAGGGATTTAATCTCATAAATACAAAGTGCAGTCCCACAAATGCCGTAGAATGCTTTGTTTATGGCGCATTCACAAAACTGATTGAGGAAATTAATTTAGTAGATCTAGTATCCTACTTCAGTTATGTGTGAAAATAAACCGTTATTTATTAAATAGTGATAAGTCGAATTTAAACATGAATTAAATGTTCGTTCATAATTTGAATTCAATGTACATAGGCTCACTAACTTGAGGCTAAAATGACCCATGCCTGTATTTATAGTTAGTGGATACAAGTCTCCAAATATCCTTTCAGCATACCTGAAGCTGAGAATTAAAGAACCCCAGATAAGTGTCTTTCCAACAATAATCATGTGTCCTCATGCAGACACTGCTCTCTTGTGGTTCTGCCGACTTACTGCATCAGGTAAAGGTACCATACTCCCAATTATAAATGCAAGTTCGGTATTAAATGTGTATGAAAAGATCTTCAGCTTTATTTCAATTCAGAACACTGGAGTACAAAAATATTCTTCCCTTGAAATAAAAACAAGTCCTCAGTTCTTAGATTCTAAACTAGTGGCAGAGTTGCTGACAGGTATAAAATCTAAATGTACATTTTCCACAAGCATCAGCAGGTCAGAACTGAGTAAAAGATTCAACAACATATTCCTTTCTTATAAATATAATAATACAATGGCACAGGTATAATGATGAATGCCAAATCAAATATAAAGAAAAGTACTACGTCCGGTTGCCGCTTGTCTTCTTGCTCTGGATCTTCCTCCTCAGGATCTGGTCAGGAATCAGATCTGACTGTTTCACATCTGTATTCCCACAGCCCACCACAGGACAACTATAGAACGGGAAATTATTATTCAAAGAGTATCGAAACATACAAATAGAATATGCAAATTAACACAAAGCGCAAAAATATCCGCATCGATACTGACAGACACTTCAGGGACAACAACATGTGACCAAGTACTGCAGCATTTCATCAGTTTTAAACTTAATCGCAATACGGGAAAGCCTCTTGAGTATTGTAGCTATAATTGTGGATAAAGTGTGACCGCAGTGGGGACTCCAGACAATAGGCAGGTGTCTAAGAAAACAACATAGACAGGCACTGGGAATTCATCAGCGTTTCTTTACGAGCCGCTACATTTAATTTATTTCTGACATCAAAGCAGTATCATAAAGAAAATATGAGTTAAGGCAGATTGCTTGTCCCTCGCCAGCACGCAGAGATGTATAGAACCTGACTCAACTTGCTAACAGTCCTCTAAGGGAGAGCGTCTTACCGGCAATTCTTTTTCTGGCTGTGTCTTGCTTTGATCATTGCCAGTATGGCCCCTTCATCGTAGTGGTGATTACACTCCTTGTTCTTCATCGGGTTCACCATATCCACCTTGAAAACACATTCACAGTGGATTGTTATATGATACATATACAAAGAAACACAACTTTAGCCACTAAAACGTCAAATCAATGTGGTCTTCTATGGCTGAAGATACTGAAACAAGTGTGTTATTGTAGGGAATTAGGAAGAGTTGTAATAATACAATTTTAAATGAGTAAAAATAAGACATTAGGAGGCTGGAAAAGTCTACCTGTGTGAGTGGGCAGGTGAAGTTCACTTGGGTCTGTGTGACAGCGATGTCTTCATCCAGCTCCTCCATGTTCTCTGCCGTCTCTTCGTTGCCTGAAATATTATAAATACAGTCAGTTTCCACATTTCTAGATAGATTATGACCTGGATCAATGACAATATGTCCCACATAGATAGTAATACATTCAGAGCTAATTTTGCATGTTATTTTAATGCCAAAACAAATATAATTTAGCTTCAAAAATATACCAGTGTCCACATGAAGGAGTTAATGTTTGCCCCATTTCACCATCTTTCATCAAATCTTCCTTTAAAGTAACACACATAGCCTTGAGACATTACACTAATAGATGCTGTTACATACATGAACACACACACACACACACACATACACACACAAAACAATCTCCCCTTTTTTAGCCCACGCAAAGATCACAATATCTACTGCTGTTGTCCCAGTGAAGCTCCAACTATCCAAAAGGCTATTCTCTGCTTAGGGTATTAAAAAACATGATGCATCCTTAAACTCTTCCACGCAGTGATGCAATGGTCCAGCCAATAAGAGAACACTTCAGTCTTTGGGAGAGCAAAATGTAAGCTTTATTAATGTATTCCTCAATATGAACATGAAGTGATTTAGCAATCATTTAATTACCAATTATGATGATTGATGGATTAGAGCTTCACAGAATACAAAATAATATGTTGACTGCAAATGACATTATCTCATATAACCATTTCTGTTCACACCCTAAAATATGTTTCCTTCCACAATGCATCTTTTGGGAATGGATCAGACTGGGAGATTAACATTGGTGAAGCAGCAACTTCCCTTATAGCGTCTACAGAAAACAATATGGCCGTGTCTAAGCGTGGCCATGTCTTTAATAAGGGGTCACATAGGGACACTTAAAGAGCAGAAAATAACTGCTACAGGGTGACAGGCAAACATAATTATTCAGCAGTAAACAAAGGGAGTTAAAATTAGGCTAATTATTATTAAATAAGGACCCAATATTTCTGTCTGTCATTGGCTCAGATTCCCTCCTGCAAGCACAGCTATCATCAAAGTATTTTATAATTCCTAACTTTATTTCATTGAGAAGATCAATTCTGATTATTTCTCCTTTATTTCCAGGTCGTACCTTGGTTCAGAGTGTTCTTGATGGCGTCCTTGAAGGCCACGACTTTCTGGTGTTTCTGCAGCTCAGCGTCAGAGAGCAGGGCTGTTCTCTCTGTGAAGCGCTCCTTCACTGTGGCAGACAGGCTGAACATGGCCTCTGGCTGCTGTGAGGTCACCTACAGAAATAAAGGTAGGTTAGTATGCTGAGTCAACTTCAGAGTTTCTCCCTGATATCCAGAAAACCCCCATCACCTTGATATTTGGACTTGCCACTCCAAAAAATCTGGTTGTGCACAGCGTAGCACAAGCTAGCATGAGTAAGCTTCCAAATAACTAATCATCTTTATGCACTTTCCTTACATATAAGCCTTATCCCAGTAATGCATCTTGAGGATCACCGGATCATTTAGTATAAAGGGCTAAGGGTGTTTTCCTCTTATGTGATTAGACCAGGCCAGATTGCGCTCACCTCTCCTGTGACTTGTTGCACTATATCAACAAAGCAGTTAATCTCCCTGTCCAGTTTGGCACACTCCAGAATCATGGCTTCCATCTCTTTGATGCCAGGGTTCGTCTCTTCACCTGTAGTTTAGCAGCACACAACATGAGCGACAACATTTTCAGATGATCCACTTGAGTAAAAGTAACAACAACAACAACACACTAACTTGTTTACGGGTAACCTACTAGTTTACCCGTAAAAGTCTTGCATATAAAATTGTGTTGACATTTTACAAACAAACACATGTATTAAAAGTACAAGCAGTAGGTTGTACACAGTATGCCTAATGCAGGCATAATATTATATTTGACTATGATCACCAATGCATTAACATGTAAGTGGTATTAACTGTTCAACGTGGAGCTAATTTGAACTACTACTACTAATGCTAATTCAAAACAAGAAATCGTGGGTAAGGCCCCGCCCTAGTATAAAACACATATGACTGTATGTATAAAATAGAGCTATTGAAGAAGGAGCAGCAAAGCTAGTGACAGCACAACACTACTGAGTGTACTTGTATGTGTTACCAAGAGACTCCGCCAGGTCTATAGCCACATCTGTCACTATGACCATTGTGGTCCCGATCTCCTCCCGACAGGACTGCAGACTCGACAGTGTTCCGCGTACGGTGCTGAGAGACATTACGAAGGATGACTGATATTCCCAACAACACAAAGTTTAGCTACGTTATCCTGGCTTGCTAACCGTACCTGCTGCATACACGATACGTTTAGGCTAAAAACACGGCTCTGGCTAAAACTAATCACCCGCGAAAACTACAACAGTAGTTATGGCTAAGCTAAGGTCCGACTTCCGGGTTTGTTTTTCAAAATAAAACCCTTGACGAAAAGATGAGAATCAACTGAAAAGAAAAACACTATATTTACAACAATCGTATTTATTACAGAATTTATTTTGGAAATGGCACAAAGTGAAAACACATAAAGTTGGCAATAGACTATTTAAACGTGTATCTATGTACATTCAATTATTAGTGCATTAAGACATTATCGGTCAATTACATCATGTACAATTTAAGTAAACAAGTCATCAGTTGTTTTTATAGTAGACATAAGTGTAAATAACAAAAATAATTAAGACTAAGTATGGCTTACTGGAACACTTAATTGAACAAAGCGATGGTTAATGTTATTAGTAACACACTTCTGTTTTTAACTAATATGTCAAGTCCAAATGTCAACAGTTTATGGCAACAAAAGCAGAATGGGATGATGAAAATGCTTCATCCGGATCTTCACAGTATTGTTCTGAACTCATCAAAAATGAAACTTGGCACATGGGCTTCTGCGACCTAAAGGACATAGGAAAAAAAAGAAGAGAAATATACATTTAATGTATTTGATCACATTTGACAATATTACTAGCAGCATTACTAGGGTCAAGGTTGTCCTACCTTGCGTGACAGTTTTGTGTACTTCACGTAGTCTTCAAGGAACATCAGAGCTCCCACCACATCAGAAGGCATGTCAGGGATCTTCTGACTGTTATAGGGGCAAATGGATAACATTCACCTGTTTGTAACTTACAAATGATGTATCACTTGTATATAGACTCTTATGGCACTACTTCTATTCTATTTTATTGTATTTACTTGCACTATTTTATCTGTTTTATTGTGTTGCACTGTTGGAGGAGTCTGGGACCTAAGATCTTCATCGACATAACTACACTGCAGCTAATGTACGAATGACGATAAAAGCCTTGAATCTTGAATAAAGCCATTAGAGGATACATTTCAAAACAGTATTCAGAACAAGCTAAATAAAACATAATTTAACCTTGAACTGTACAGAAATAAGTGTTAAAATGTTTACTTTGTATTCCAAAGTACTCAAGTCTGGGTCTTCTTGTTACCTTGTGCACTGCTCCATGATAGAGCGGATGAACTGACCAATGAGAGCCAAGAACTGCTGTGTGTATCTGGAGTGAAACTGCTTGAGCAGGGTGAGCATGCCGAGCACCAGAGGAACCCAGTCCACTGGATCTGCAGCTTTCCTGCAGGTCATTCCTGAAAAGACATGAGACATATGGCCATTAACATGTAGAAGCAGCACCAACTCTGGCATACTGACGGAATAATCCCCCATATCATTTTTCACTATTAGTCAAAACATATGGTGTGCAGTCAATCCTTAAACTTACCGGTAGTGACTGCCTACATTTCCTGGAATAATTATGTGTGCAGTAAGTAAGTAGCATACCCATTTAATAACTACATTTAAACTATAAAATAATAATAATGGTTGTAACACAACACTGGTTGTATGAGTTGCACTCACATGTATACAACTTATAATCATCAACCACAGTACATTAAAAGCTGTAAATGCTTTTTAAAGTAACTGTAAAACAATTTGCCTTGGTTTTTGTTGTACTGCAGTTTAGGCAGCTGAGCGATAACAAACAGGAAGTTGATGATGTGAAAGTACGGTAAACGCTTTGTGGTGATGTAGATCTGAAAGAAACACAAACAGAAGAAAGACTGTCAGTGTCCTGCAATTCATAACCACAGAAAAGAGACAGAACATGGCGTGGGGGAGAAATGTGCTCCAGTTTGGGTGGTTTTTGAAAAATGCATTAATATTATTTAAATTGATTATTTATCACATGGTGTGAAAAGAAACAGCAATAATCTGCAGACCTTGTTGAGTGGGTTGTGAATGCCGGCGGCCTCTAGGTGAGCAGCGATGTCGTACAGCAGAGTGTTGTCCTCTTTAGGGTAGGGCAGGGATGGATCCTGGTAGTGAGCTTCAATATCTGCCAGCAGAGACCTGGCAATGGAAAAATAAAGTTTGACGTATGGTAGATTAATGAAGGAGTAAGATTCTTAAATAACTCATAATTTATCAACTAGTACTTAAATGGTATTAATAAACATTAAATGCCTAAATATGACCATTACTGTGAAGCAATAACCCTCTTGCTGGTCTGGGAACAAAGCAATACTTTCCCTTCACCACTAATGATAATAATGATATAATAACACAATAACAGAGACATTAGAGAGGTGGTGCTTTAGGATTTGACTGACTTGTTGAGGTTTTCCAGGGCAGCAGCCAGGTGTTTGGAGTCAAACTTGCAGGAGAAGTTCAGCTCATTAGCAATCTGCTGCCGGAGAATCTGCATCTGACCAACCTACAACAAAGACATTTATTTCACTTTATTGTAACAACATCATAGCTTTATTGGCAGTTAAAGTGGCATGACATGATGGAGGGGGTGATAGAAATGCATTTAAGAGCAAATTGAGCTTAGGTTTCATCATCAAAGAAGGCACATTTTGTGATCATTAATTATCAATAATTATTTTCAATTATAACATTATAACATTTCTTGAACCAGTACCTTCATGATGGCCTCCAGGTATGCACCCCAGATCTTTTGGGTTTTGGCCACAGCACTAGCGTACACTTTGCTGGCATTACCTGTTGCACAAAAAAAACAAAACACACAAATTGATATTCTTCTCGAGGATTAGGAAATCATGGCAGTTAGTAGGATTTCCTGAATGAATACCTACCCACAATACCCTGGACTGGGTTGACAGCATACAGGACGGCTTTAAAGACATCTACCACAGCTTTGTCCTTCAGGATGGTCCTCTGAATCATCGTCAGGAAGTTCTGATGTGGAAACAGTGCAAATATATTCAGTTATGCATCCATTTGTGCATTAGAGTCGCACAGCCCGAGACGGTAGGCTAATTACCTGAAGTTCCTTGACAATCATGAAGCAGAGCAGGCGGTCTAGTCCATTGAGGCCGAATGTACCCAGAGTGCTCTGGATCTCAGAGAACAGCCGGTTGTTGGTGACCTCGTGGTGGCTCCTCAGGTCGTACCAGGTGTTCATCTGGTCAATGTAGCATGTTACCCTGTAGGAAAGTGTATTAGGTGGCTGCAATATTCAGCATCTACATAAATAACCAAAGCAGTGTCATTGTGATGTTTGAGGAGGCATACTTGGGATCAGTGATGCGGAGGATCTCTCTGCAGAGACGACCGATGAAGGTGGCAGACTCGTCCACAGAGGGAAACTTTGGGATGGGGATGTGGGTGGACTGGTGCACACTCTGCCAGTCCTGGATCTGATTGGAGGAAAGTAAAGGACCAATCACTCCGACAGATAGACAGAAAACAACCCAAGCATTTATCATTTCTCACAAAGGGGTGACGCGATGTCGGTCCATTAGTCAGGGACATGATCAGAAACCGTAAAAAGCTACTACTGTGATGAGTCTCACCTTGGCTCTGAGGAAGCTGTTGCATTCCTGTTCCACATTGTAGTTGATGATGCGGGACACTTCTTCCTGCCAGATTTTAAGGCCGTAAATGCTGACGTAGTCCTGGATGTACTCAAACGACCTGTAGAACCCATCCATGATGGCCGCCATGTCCTTCAACTTGGGCATCAGCTCACTAGACTGGGAGATTGAAAGTCTCTTAATTGAACTGTTATCCTTGATTCTCACAGGGCAAAAGGACATTGCCAATACATTACAATTCTCTGCAAAACTTGTATTTGCAAATTGTTTTGTCCTGGGGAATCTCCTCCAGTTTTATTACTACTTTGTATTTTTGTATTGTTTATGTGAAACTTCCAAGATATGACACAACCTTGATCATGCACTTTAAATCACAAAAGCATAGATATAATCATCGAACAACACATTGCAAATAGTATGTCTTACCTTAGCCTTGGGGTTAAAGATCAATCCTTTGTGTAGAGCATACGCTACCCTCTTCACCAGCTCCTTCCTGATGCCATCCTCCAGAAGCTGCTTAGGGTCCACCTTAAGCACAACAGTATGTTTGTAAAGTCACATCACAGTAATGTAATCTTAGACTGCACTGTGGTCCTACCAAAAGTTCAAGAAGTGCATACAACTTTATCACATCATCTACCTTTATGATCCCAACTAGAGTTGTCTTCATCATCAGGATCCCCTCAGTGAAAATGGAGATGTCATGGGTGAGTTTAGCCACCTTTAATCACATGAAGACAAAATATGATTAGCCACTCAAATGAGGGATTAAATTAAATCAATACAATGTAAAAGTACTAGGATAAGCTATTTATATAAGCTGTTATATTGTCCCTTTACCTGCATATTTAGAAATGTGCCTGCAGATGAGTTTAAAAAGGTCCTTACACACATGCCCGGCGCCGTGGGAGGGCCAGGCCCTCCCATTTGACATTCCTGCCCTCCCCTAATAAACACGTTTTTTATTATTTATAAAAATAAAATAAAAAAAATATATATTTTTTTTTTATTATAAATAAACTGTAAACTTTTATGCTACGATGTATGTGATGTCAGATAGGGCTACGTCAAATAAATTCATGTGTTTGTTGTGATTTGTGATTCGTCCACATTTAGACCAATCACAGCGTCACACTCTGCCGCCTATTCTGGATTTCTTTATTGTTTATTCTGTAGACTCCCATTTCTGTTTGAATTACAAAATGGACATCATAAATTGGCTTAAAAGGTCTAAGGATTTATTAAAACGAAATAGCGCTGAAAGAACTGCAGCCGATGCAGCAGCACGCCTTAATGTCACAAGCTTGACCTCGACAAACCCCGGGGCTGAGTTAGCGAGCCCAAGCCTTGACTCATCAAGGCGGTCGCCACCAACGCTGTCCTCCGATGCACAGCTCCTTGTGCCCCTACCATCACCACCTGCGTTGCCACACCCTACACTACACCCATCATCATCATCATCATCCTCCTCCTCCTCCTCCTCCTCCTCCTCCTCCTCCTCCTCCTCCTCCTCCTC